ATTTACACACATATATACTCCTCTCTCTCTCTCTCTCTCTCTCTCTCTCTCTCACCAGCCACCGGGAGAGACGCAGTGCAGGGCTGGTTACAGCTCCCCGAGCCATGGCAGTGGGAGGGGAGCCTGTAGGAGGCAGGGAGCTCCTGGAGGGCTCCCTGGAGGAGGGAACCCCTGACCTGAGACTGGAAATGAGTCAGGAGAAGGGTTTCAGCAGAGGGAAGAGCGTGCTCAAGGCCATAGAGGCAGCACCACTCCAGGCTGCTGTCGGTACAGGCAGCTCTGGGAGCAGGAGGGGTGCATGTGTGTGTACATGTGTGTTCACATGTGTGCCTGCTCCTGTGTGTGCCTGCTCCTGTGTGACTTGTGAGGTGACCCGTGGCAGGTCCACCACGCTGGCTGGGGGCCGTGGCTCCCGCTCCAGCCCCACCCGCAGCCCCCACTCACCTGAACCTGCCAAGGAGCTGAGGGACTCCGCAGTCGTGGCCCGGGACACAGAAGCCTGTCCGTGCGGGAGGACGGAGGCTGGTTCCCCCTCTGCCCCTCCCACTCCAGGTGGCCAGGAAGTTCAATGTAGTGACGCCTGTGGGCTTCGAATACAGGGAAAGGCTGAGTTCACTGGGGCCGCTCCGGCTCCATTCCTGCCGAGACACGCTCTGCGGCCACCCACCCCCTGCCCACGCCGTTCGCGACACGGAACCCAGCCCGCGCCCCGGGTCTGGCCTCCAGGGGTGTGGGCTCCGACTCTTGAACGGCGTCTTTCAAATCGCAACGCCTAGCTCTCGGGACGTCAGCAGACCCGGCCACTCGGTGCGGCATAAACAAAAGGTTAATGTGTGGCCAGCAGAGAGAGTGTTTGCGAAACCTTTCAGCCCAAATACCTTCTCCGTCCTGGCAGGTGGCGGGGAAGGGACAAAGGTGGCCTGGCGACAGGGCGAGGGGCAGGTGGGCGTGGGCTCATGGGTGGGAGCAGGCTTCCTTTCCCCCGGGTTTGCTTATTACGACTTTATTTTTCTTCTCCGCACCCACCGCCTGGACCTAAACACCCACACAGCCACTTCTTCTTTTTCAAATCCTCACCCGAGGATATTTTTCTTGATTTTAGAGAGACAAGAAGGAAGAGAGAGAGAAAGAAATATCGAGAGAAATATGAGAGAGGAACATCAATTGGTTGTCCCCTATACACACCCCAACCAGAGATCAAACCCGCAACCTAGATAGGTGCCCTGACCTAGAATCGAACCCACAACCCTTTTGGCATACGGACAACGCTCCAACCAACGGAGCCATCGGCCGGGGCCGCCCCTTGTTGCTGTCTCAGGATTTTCAATTCTTTCTCTTAATATTCAGTCAAGGGAGCAGACAAAGGGGTCTGTCATCCATCACCCACTCATTCATCCAGTGCTGGGACTACGGCACAATCCTGCTCTCAAGGACTTTTCTGTCTGCTTCAGGTCTGATGATGGGAGAATTCTGACGTGTACAGTGATAGAGAGGATGGTCTAGCGAAGCCCACGTCCCCATCGGCAGCTGCCGTCCGATATCACCACCTTGAGGACAGGATCATTCCCTCCCCCAACCTCGTCCCCTTGGGAATGTTCTGAAGCAAATCCTAAACGTCCTTTCATCTGTAAGAGTTTTAAAAATCCTAACCACAATAGTATATGTCACATCCTAAAAAACCAGTAAACTCCTTAATATCATCAGTGTGCAAGTCATTGTTTCCCTAATTGGTTCCCCAATTTATTTATTATTTAAAAAATATATATTTTTATTGATTTCAGAGAGGAAGGGGGAGGGAGATAGATAGATGAGAAATATTGATCAGCTGCCCCCTTCACGCCCCCCACTGGGGATCAAGCCTGCAACCGGGCATGTGCCCTGACCGGGAATCGAACCCTGACCTCCTGGTTCATAGGTGGACACTCAACCACTGAGCCACGCCGGCCAGGCCCCAATTTATTTTTTACACTTGGTTTGTTTAAATGATGATCCAAACCAGGTGTACGCATGGCACTTATTAATACAGCAGGCCCCCCCCTTATCCAGGGGGACACGTCCCAAGGCCCCCGTTGGAGGCCGGAAACCACAGTACTGACCCCATGCTGTGTTTTCTCCTGCGCATCCCACCGGTGATGGAGTTAACTGATAAATTAATCAATAACTAATGATGGAAGAGAGCGAGGAGGCCCATGCATGGGCTGTACTAAAAGTTGCGTGAGCGTGGTCTCCTCCGTGCCTCAGTGGCCGGCTGCACCCTCCCTCCCATGCCGACGTGCCACAGTCTGTGCTGTGGCTACAGCGCCCACAGGTGCAGGGTGGCAGCGCCCGCAGGTGCAGGGTGGCAGCGCCCGCAGGTGCAGGGTGGCAGCGC